CAAAAGTGAAAACCAGCGAAGAAACGGCTCGAGTTGCCAAGTTCCCCTTTAAGTCTGTTCGTTAGGTGTTTGTGACGATGGAGAGAGAACCTGAGTGGAAACATGTTTACACCTCATTAACGTCCATGAGAGAACATAAACCTTCAGCGCAGACGTTTGGGCTCACAGGAGATCAGTTATTTACAGCCGCTTCTCGTTCGGTGCCAGAGTTCACACACGCAGTTCACACACACCCTGGAAAACCGGGATATTCAGGGACCAGTTTTCCAGTCATGGTGACACCTGGAAATGTTCCTGGCAATAATCCACGATGTCCTGGAAGCCTTTACTGATGTTTTCTTGAGTGGTGTCACCTGGTTAGTGTTTAAAGGACAATCTGTGTGTTCAGACTCTGAAACATTAAAACTCTCTTACTAACAAAATATAAATCTGTCTCACTTATGACTGATGGGTTCTTTACGAGCTTCTGGCAGCGCTGTCTCATTGGACTGCAGATCTGTTGTGAGTCCGACAGCTGGACGGAAGAATCGACAGAAGCTTCTCAGACAACTTTGCTTGTTGCTGTGAAAACATCACATCGCTCGCTCAGTTTACTGACAATAAGGCTTTTAGGTGGAGATGATAGTGGAGCGCCCTCTGCTGGACCACAAGGCAAACTGCAAACAGTCTATACATTGTAAATTCAAACGGGTTATTACAAAATGAATCTTTGTGTCCTGTAAACTGGAAACTCTTTAGAGTCACATCTGTACTGCTGTCTGTTCCTGGCAGCTGTAAACATCACCTGAGTGTTTGATTAAGACCAAATTAAACAGACTGAATACACACAACATCCGGTCTGTGTGGAGCGATGAGGAGACTGTAACCTTCCTCACATTTCTACAACAGAGAGATCGTGTTTCCATCATGTTCTCTGCGTCGTTTCCTGTTATTTGAGCCTTTTTTTAGCTCCACCAACCAGTGAACTGTAACTACAACAGGACTTCTGTCTTTTTTTGCCCCCACCAGAAAAAGTTGCCCCAGCTGAAGAGTCTGGACCTGTTTAACTGCGAGGTGACCAACCTGGCCGACTACAGGGAGTCCATCTTCAAGCTCCTCCCCCAGCTCACCTACCTGGACGGCTACGACATCGACGACTGCGAGGCGTCCGACTCGGACGGAGAGGGCGACGGCGTCGAGGACGAGGACGAAGAAGGTGAGCGGCCGAAAGAGAAAAGCGAGAGCGCTGTTCCTCCCTGAAGCTGCTGCATGTTGTCTCACTGTGTCTGCTCCTCCAGAGGGCGAGTCAGAGGACTTCGAGGAGGAGGAAGAGGAGGACGAGGAGGACGTAGTGGCCGAAGAGGACGACGACGATGACGACAGCGCTGACGATGAGGTGAGTCTGGAGCTGCTTCTGTTCCACACACACGGAACAGGAATACAAATATTTCCATTTTTAGAGTAGAAATAAATATGTGTGAGGTTTCCATTAGTCTGGTTTCACACTGCCACAGTTTTAGCTCCGTGTTGAGTTGACTTTAAGGGGCTAACAGGTGGGGAAGCACACTTTGGAACAGAGCTGCGATTGTTTAGACAGATACTGACATATGAGTCAGTTATTGGCAATGATCCTTTTTGCATCTAAACTGTAGTTTTTACTGAAAAAACCCATTAAAATCATCATCATGTGACTATTTTTAGGGTCTTCAGCAAAGAAAAATGTCTTAAATCTGGAGGAACAAGATTTGTCGGCTAAAGTTTCTCAGCAGTGTTTTATTCTAAAGCAGTTTGTCACATTTTACCTTCATCCAAACACTGCAGCTTCTTGTCTTCCTCAAGTGCAGTGTGAAGAGCCGGCTGGGAGATTAATCTCTTTTTACTTTCAGTTACAGTTTTGGCTTTCAGCGACCGTAAAAACAAGACTAATTCATTTTATTTATGAATTAGATTTCATACAAGGCAAGAAACGATCAATAAAACAATAAATCAGGAGAAAAAGAAACATTATTTTTGTTGTTGTTCTCTCGTGTTGTCTTGTGCTATAAATCCAGCGCACCCTGCGGTACGTTTCATTCAGCTTTGAGTCGACAAAGTGAAACCAGTTCAGCTGTTTAGAAACGACGTCTGATAATAATCGATACAGACACGAATAAGTGAACGTGTTGACACTGAATACACTGCAGCCTTTGTTCTGTAGCGTTAAGATGTTAAAACCCTCAACAACCAACTTCTCTGTGTGCAGGACGGAGAGGTGAATGGAGACGTGGACAGTGAGGATGACGACGACGATGAGGAAGACGAGGATGATGATGGTGAGTAACGCACTGGCTCATTCACTTCCACACAATCCTCCGTTAGCTGCGTGCAAAAGACGCTTTATTTTCATTTAACTGCATGAACTCGTTGACTCTTTGAAACCAAAACCATGTTTTTAAAATGTTTTTTCACCTCAAACTAAAATATTTCCCAATTTAATAAAAAAAAACATAAAAGTAAAAATAAACATTTTCTGAGTCATGTCTGCAGTTATTTGTGTAAAATCACATTGTACATTATTTTAAATGCTAAAACAATCTGCTTTAACGTCTCGTGTCCTCTGCAGACGAGGACTCGTCTCCGGCCAAAGGAGAGAAGAGGAAGAGGGACCCTGAAGACGAGGATGATGAAGATGATGATTAAAGAACCACAAAGACCCCCCGCGACCCCCTTTGACCTCCCTGCCCTCCCCCCTACATGACCTCGTTCCATCCCCTCCCCCACCAGCGCTCGCCCTCCTCCTGCGCCAGACTCCTCCCCCACCAACACCCGGTCGACTCCTGGGCTGCGTCCCATTTCTGAAAACAGGTCTCCTCCCGCCGCGTCCTCGTCAGCTCCTCTCCGTTAATTTATACAATTCATTCGTTTGTTGATCCCAAATATTCCTCGACCGCCCGGAACAACTTCCCGTCACTGTCATATTTCACTCTCTGCCGTTTGTAGCAGCACATTTTAGTGAACTCAGGAAAAACTCGAGAGCTTCGAATCCACAAAACCGATCAGAACTCCAACTCACGATCGTTTTCAGTATCGATTTAAGCTGCACGTTATCGTCTCCATTCATCGTTTCGTCTATAAAATGCCAGAAAATTATGATTTCTCAGCGGAAAGTGACGTTAAAATGTCCAAAGATGATCCGTTAACCATCGTGCACAACAAACGGCAGAAGTCTTCACATTTTAGAAGCTGCAACCGGAGAATATTTGGCATTTTTGTGTGGAAATATATGAATTAAATATGAATTTCCCATAAATATTCTGTTAATTGATCGTTTCAGCCCGACGTAAAGTTCCTCTGTGGCGTTAACGGGAACTTGTGATTTATTTCAGAGAAAGACGGACTAAAGTTGGATTTCACAAAAGCCGATTTAACCGAGTTGGTTGTTGATTTTTGGTGTCAGATCTGACGTGTAGGAAAGAGGATGTTGGTGTTCCACACATTTGCGAACCAGAACCTCAGATGAGCAAAAAAAAGTTAGAATTTTTTTTGCGTATTTGTTACATCAGGACAGTCGTTGAGAAATAAATCACATCAGCAGAAGTTTTGTGTCTCAGGGCATCGAATCATCAGCTGCTATCACAAGAACAAGGTATTCTGGGAATTTTCGTGACCGTTTGAGCTCCAGATTCCCGCTCCGTTAACCAGAAGTAAACGCCAGTCATTAAGCTCGATAACGAAGCATCACGGAGGCGAGGTTTTGACCCGTTTGTACGGAACGCCGGAGAACGTAAGCTTCAGTTTTCGTTCCGTTTTTGAGATCAATCACAAGAAAATCGCCCTTTTTTTGTTGTTGTAATATTTGTCAATAAATTCACGTTTTCGAGTAATTACGTTGTTAAACACGTTGAAACAAAGCATTTTTTTTTTTTTTTGCGTCGTGTCTGTGGAAGGAGGCTGAACGCCGGCTCGCAGGAGGTGACGTCACTGTTGGGACACGAAATCAAACCCAAACTCCACGATTCCTCCTTTTCCCATCATTCCTTTGTCCCCCCCCAACTCTCCGTGACATCACCACTCTGGGACTCAACCAGCAGCTGTGATGTCATCACCGCGCTCCCCGACGGACAGTCAAACCTAGTGAACCCCCCCCCCCCCC